CCGTGGTGCTCCGGCAGAGGGCTGCAAAGGGGGAGCTGGCTCATTTAGCCCACCGACTGATGGATGTGGACACGAGGCGGCCGGAGCCGTGGATCGCAGCGGCCTTGCACAGCGACCTGAAGGGGGAGAAGGAGAGCCCTTTGACGTTGGTGGAGCAGGCAATCAAGACGGATCACGAGCATGTCCTAGGCTACCAGGTACGAGGCACGTTGCTGCTTGCGTTAGGGAAAGCGGAGGCGGCGGCTTCGTCCTTCCTTCAGGGCAGTCGGCTCCACAAAGACATGAACGGCTACAAAGGCTTGGTGGACGCCTATTTGGTCCAACACAAATTTAAAGAGGCATTAGGGTGTGCAAAGGAAGCCTTTTCCGCCATGCCAAAGAGCGCCACGGCCATCACCTTGGTGGGTCGCGTCCTGGCCCAGTTGCCGGAGGGGCGCGAGAAGGCCAAGCGTGCCTTCCAAAGGGCCCTGAGCATGAACCCGTCCACGGTCGATGCCCTTTTGGCCCTGGCAGACTTGCATCTTGGGGCACAGGAATACGATAAATGTATACATCTGTTGTCGAGTAGTTTGCAAAATAGTGGGCATGATTTCTTGCATACCAAGTTGGGGGAGGCCTATGCTATCAGTGGAGATTTTTCAAAGGCTCTAGCATCTTTTAACACTGCTGTTTCCATGAATCCATCTTCTGCACCAGCCACGGCTGGGCTGGAAAAACTAGAGAAGCTTTTGCGGGGGGTTGAGCCAGAGGAGGATGGGGAGGGGGAGGAGGTGGACGAGGAGGTTGAGGCAGAGGAGGATGATATGGTGGAGGGCACGACAGACTAGTGCAAAACGGCATGGCACACTAGTGCAGTTGCGAATTATTGATATGCATGCAAATCCTCGATATGCAAATGTAAATAGACTAGCGCGGCAGGGGAAGGAAAGCTCCGGCCAAAAAAGTAGCTAACGGATAGGAAGGACGGTGAGCGCGTGCGTTTCCTTATCGGTTGCTTTACTTCACTCGATCATGACCACGACGTCGCATCGACAAGCCACGCTCACTCCATTCCTGCTTCATGTTACGCAAAGAATAATTTCGACGAGGTATTACAGGGGTGGGAGGAGAGCTTTCTATTTATTCGGCTTCCTCGGCTGGCGGAGCTTCGACATCTACTTGCGCCAAGGCCCAGCCCGCCAGCTCCGACTACAGGGGGGGAGGATCAGGAAAATAGCAACTGGTAGACGCGACGCATACCGGATGAGTGTCTGTGATGAGTATCATTCACATAGCTCACCGCCTATGAAGCCTGCTCGCATTTTATCCATCCAGTCCCACGTCGTTCACGGGTACTTGACTCGTCCTTACCGCTTCCTCCTAGTTCCCCATGTCTCTCTCTAGACTCTCTTTCGAAGCTGACCTTCATTCTAATGTCTCCGCATGAAATGGTCAACGAAATATGAAAGAGCATGACAGTTTTTTTTGCATGCCTTTTCGACCTCTTTCCAGGTTTTTTACATTTATCGTCCCTTTCTCCCATCCCCCCCCCAAAAAGCTATGTGGGCAACAAAAGCGCCGTTTTCCCTCTCCAAGTCCTTGGTCTTGACGTTGATCCTATCAACAGCGTCCAGTTCTCCAACCACACAGGCTATGATGTCTGCAAGGGCGATGTCTTGGAGGGGGTCGAGCTCTTAAGACTCGTGGAGGGCCTTGAGGCGAATGGGCTGTTGTCGGGATACACGCACTTGCTGACAGGCTACATTGGGTCGCCGTCTTTCCTCCACGCTGTCGTCCAAGTGGCCACCAAGCTAAAAGCCCTCAACCCGGGCCTGCAGTACGTGTGCGATCCCGTGTTGGGTGACGAGGGCAAGCTCTATGTGGCCGAGGCTCTGGTAGAGACGTACAAAACCCAAGTGCTTCCCCTTGCGGACGTGCTCACGCCCAACCAGTTCGAGGCTGAGATTCTGACTGGCATCAAGATCCAATCGGAGAGCGACGCGCAAAGGGCATGCCTTTTACTGCACGCGCATGGCCCGCGGACCGTGGTGGTGACGAGTGCCGCCTTCCGGGGAGGTGAAGGATGTCTTCATGTCTTGGGGAGTCAGCGTGCGTACATGCCTTGGGGGGTGGAATGCGGGGATGACTGGTGTGGGGTCTGGGGACGCAAGGGCATAGTCAGGCCATATGACTCCGAGACGGGTAGATGTGAGCGGGGCGGCCTGGTTTCCGCTTCATACGCAAAAGCCGGCACTGTCATCGCTCACGCCTTTCTCACAATCCGCGCGCATACCGACAGGCCATGGGACCTCCTGGAGGGCCCCCGACATGTGTCGCCTGGTGGTGCCTCGCATCGCCGGGGCCTACACGGGCACGGGGGACTTGACTGCCGCCTTGCTCTTGGCTTGGCTCTACCGGGACCCCCCCCGAGGACTCCCAGAAGTGCTAGAGAAGGCCATCGCCACCGTCCAGGCTATTCTGAAGCGGACTTACGAGGAAGGGGGGGGATCCGCCGAGTTGAGGCTTGTACAGAGCAAGCAGGACATCGAGAGGTACGCGGGGTGGGCAAGGCCCGGGGAAGCAGGGTGGTTGTCGGAGCTTCCGTCGAACATACCCCGTAGAAAATAAAAAACTGAAGCTTTGAAAATACGTGACGAGTCGATGTGATCTTACACTTGGCCAGGCCGCGTGTCCAAGTCACGGCCGAGCGGTTGCGCCAGCCTACGGACATCAAGGGAGTCATTTTCGACATGTAGGTGCACCCTTCCCTCGTCTCAAAGCCGTCTTTGTTTATCGCGCGTGCACCCGGTCTGGCTTTTAATTGATGCATGCGTGATCGCCTGGGGGATCGCCTCGAGACGTCAACTAAGTCGCGCGTTTCTTTCTTGACTCCTACATTTGTTTCAGGGACGGGACCCTGACCAAGCCCGGTCAGATAGACTTTGGACGCATCCGATCTCGCCTCAACATCCCTGAGAATGTGGATATACTGACGTACATTGGACAAATGTCTTCAGAGGGAGATAGGGTTGCGGCGCTGGCCGTGGTAGAGGAGGAGGAGTTGCGGGGGTTTATGGACGTGCAGCTCCAGGAGAAGGCGGAGGAGGTGGTGGCCTGGCTGCGGGGCGAAAGGGGCATGCAAGTCGCATTAGCCACGCGCAACAACCCCAAGTGCGTGGACGTCCTGGTCGATCGCTGTGCCTTCCGACTCCCTTGTCATGTAGAGGCCTCGTCCGTAGAGACCCCACCAAAGGCCTCCTTTCATCCGGTGCTCACACGGGCGTGGAAGAGCGAGGTGGACGTGGATAAGCTCCTGGACGTGTGCGAACAATGGGGGCTGCCCCCGGAATCCGTCTTAGTGGTGGGCGACAGTTTAGGTACGTTGATGACAGAACGCAAAGCCACATGACACAGCCGATCGTGTGTGATGAACACGAATGAATATCAGGGTACTCTGTATTGATTCTTTTTCAAGCGAAAAGTTGGCGCGAACTAATTCTTCTCTAATCGTGTACGACGTGCATCACAGAGGACTGTCAATGGGCGCATCTAGCTGGCATGAAAAGTTGTCTAATTCACATTGGTGCCGACCACACGCTGGACACACTGCGAAGCGGCTATGTGCACACAGTCATTGAATCCTTAGGGGAGCTTCAGACATTGCTGGGCGGAGATGGTCATGTGAACGAGGGCGGACCGGGTGAAAGATGAGAGAGGTGTCTTGAATGAGCTCGAGAGAGAGCCTACAGATGAAGTAGACCTCACTTAGCGTGCTGCCCTATACTCCGTCAGGACTCGGAAAAGGGATCCAGGGCGACGAGAAAAACTCCAAATGTTCAAGACTGTCTAGTATGGCAATTGAAAAAAACTCCAAGTAATATTAAGAAAGAAACAAGTATTTTCGAGGTGTGTAAAAATACAAATTGTGGGCTCTTCTCTCTCATCAGGGCATTGAAAAGATTCGTGCGCCACCCTCCTCTAGCAAAGTACAAAATCACACGTATCTTTGAGAGAGGAAGTGTACAATTCACGATTATTTTTAAAAACCCAGAGACAAGTATGCATGTGCCAGATGA